ATATTCTCTTCCATAATTAATTGTACCGAAGGACTTCATACAATAGTATTAACTTCTTACTTTCTATAATATATTTTACGTGTCAGAAATGTCTCTTAAACAATATCACATCTCTGCTTCTTAAAGATTAAAATATCAATTTTATAAATAAAGGATCAATTATAAACATATTTGATCCTTTTCTATAAGAATACTCTTAAATGAGAATATATCATTATCAAAATTTTGTTTTTTGTGTATGCACTTAGTTAAAAATTTGATTCATAAAAAATGCTAGTCTTGAAATGGTAAGTGATAATACCAATTTTATATTTTCACTAATTGTTTGCTACATCATAATAATTTTTATCATAAAATTATATTTTATATAATTGTTTTCCTTTAAAAATTTTATTTCAGGCAATACTACATTTATCTTTCACAAATTTGATTTTATAACATAATTAATTTTATCACATCATAACAAATAAATAGATGAATTGCTTTTTAAAAATAAAAATATAAATACTCAACTAATGTCACGAAGTAGTGAATTCTTTATTTCTACTAAATCTTTTAACGTAAAATTTTTCCAAAATTTAAAAGCATTATTAAATTTCTATTTTAAAATAAAAAGAAAGGTCAATTCATCATTAATAAAATTTGCCACATAAGCAACCAATAAAGACTTGCCATCTCACCTTAATATAACCCATATAAGCTTGTCTTTTGGCGACTTTTTAGCAAACGGAGTCTTAAATATTATATTAAAAGATTATATTTTTTTATAACTAAAAAGAAATTTTTATACAATCCTTTTTTAATTATGAAACATTATAAAAGCTTAAGTGAGATTGTAACAAAAAGCACCCTAGCTTGGATGGTTAGCAACTCAACTAAATGACCAAGAGATCCTTGTTTCAAACCCCATGGTGGTATGTTTTTGGGAAAAAATTGCAAAAAAAGAACTGATCTAACCGGTCAAACCGATCGGTTTGTCTAAAAGGGTGACATATTAGCTCGCCACATGTCGCGCTTTAACTTGCCAAATGTCACCACATCAGCTCGCCGGTGTCGTGCTTTAGCTCTGCCAAATGTCACGTTCTTATAGCTCCGACTCTGCTTTATATATATAAAGGATTTGTTTATTGTGTATTGGGCCGTGTATAGCTTGGGCCCGTGATTTATATATAAACTCCCGGTGATTAATGGAAAACACAGTTTTCACGTAAAATATTTCTACACATATCATCTCAAAGGTGAAACATTTTTGAAAACAAAGCGAGTATAAAAGTTGTGACAATAATAATAGGGTGTTGCTAAATCTACTCTTTGCTACATTTGCACCATTGGTTACTAAGGTATTATGTTTCCTTAAAAGTGTAAAACGAAAGTGGACATGTGCACTTAGCTTAAGGATGTACTTGTCAAGTGGACATGTGCACTTAGCTTAAGGATGTACTTGTCTAATTTTTATAATTGGGCTGGATTTAGTCAAATGTGGGGGTGTATTTAATTTAGCAACGAAAATTTAGAAAATACTACCCGAACCCGAAATGTGGGGGAGTATATAGTAAAAGTTATCAGGTTGTCAAATAATAATCGAGATAAGTATTTATGGACGCAAAGAGTAGATCTGGCAAAACAGAACCGGAACCGATTACCCGAACCGAAATGTCTGAAACCCAAACCGAAATGACCGAAAAATGAAGATCCGATCTATAACCGAAAACCCGAAATGATCCGAATCGAACCGAAACCGAACTACATAATTCATATCCGATTTAAATCCGAAACCAATTAGATCCGAAACCGATAATATCCAAACCGATTAAACCCAAAACCGATTAGATCCGAACCCAATAATACCCGAAACCGATTAGATTCAAAACCGATAATATCCGAACCCGATTAGAACTAAAATCGATAAATTCAAACTATGTTTGCCTTTCAATTAGCCTATTATATTTTTAAATTTTTACTTTTATTTTACCATTTGAACTAATTACATCACTTGCTCATACTCTCATAAAAGGGATTATCTTCTTGAAAAAAAAGTACAAAATTTCATGCCTTAAATTTATTATAGAGTAAATTCCATAAAAGCTCCCCATTTGTAAGTCATTTTACATATTTAGTCCTTACATATCAAATATTACTAATTTAGTCCCCAATTATTATATTTATTTTCCCGAATGGTTCTTTGTTAACATTTCCGTTAAGAACATGGATAAAATTGTAAATTCACACTCCTTTCTCTTCTCAATTAAGCTTCCTCCCTCCACTCGCACTCTTTTCCCAAACTCGTCGCTGAGTTTGAAGCTTTGAACCTAAAATCAAAATCATCACTCTTCTCTCAATTATTTGTCTAATTGGTGGAACCCAAATTCGAAACCAGTAACCATCATGGATGAGTTTTAGTGTTTATTTTCTTTGCAATTTCTTGAGACTAACCGATAAAACTCATCCATAAATGATCATTTCAGTTTTGGGTTTAGAGCTTCAGACTTAGCGACGAGTTTGGGAAAGAGTAGAGAGAGGAGGGAGGAAACTTAATTTAGAAGAGAGAAGTATGAATATACAATTTTATTCATGTTCTTAACAAAAACGTTAACAAGGGACCATTCGTGAAAAATGATATAATAATTGAGGACTAAATTAATAATATTTGATATGTATGGACTAAATATGTAAAACGACCTATAACTGGGGACATTTTATGGAATTTACTCTTTATTATATGTAGAAGTTAAAGATAAGTTATACGGAGTACATATAAATGATAACGCACAAACGAATAAAATTTCCATAATTTTTAAATATTGAAGTGTGACATTTTTTTGAGACGAAAGAAATATATGATGATTTGTATGGAATAACTAGATTTTATTCTAATTTCATCCCATTACAATAAATTTTATTGATTTGAGAGTTAATTTGATTAGTTTCAAACCAATTCACATAATATTAGTCAACAAAATTAGATGTTAGTGTTAGTATTTTGAAAAGACTCTCTAGCGGCAGCATTTAGTGTTATCATTTTTAAATTTTATCTACACCATTATATTTAGGTGTAAAATTAATTATATTTGACTCTATTAAATTTAATTTTATCTATTTTCAACCAAATACACTCAATAATTTATAAATTTTACACTCAATTGAATAAAATTCACTTAATTTCACTCAATTTTATTCATTTTTTACCAAATTGTATTCAAATGGAACATAACACTATTTGAATTTATCTTTTATCTTTTCATTTATAAACATAAGCATATTAGTATATGTGAGAAAATTTTGATATTTCAAAACTAAATTTTAAATCAATTTAATTATATTAAATTTATATTATAATTAAATATATATGTTTTCAGAATTTGTAGTCCCAAATTTGTAAAATATGACTAAAAAGTCAAAAAGGAAAGATTATTTAGGGTAGAGATAATATAATTAGAAAAAAATATAAAATAATATGAGGTATTGAATTGATGATAGATTGATAAATGTGATAAAACATAAAAAGAAACACGGATAGTTAAATTTTAATTAGAAAATAATATATGTCCAAAATATATTTGATCCGAAACCGAAATATATCCGAACTAAACTAGACCCGAAACCGAAATATATCCGACTCAAATTGTATCCGAATCGATTTATAACCGAACCGTATCTGAACCGACTCGAAACCGAACCGAAAAATGTATAGATTCGAATCAAATCCGAACCAAAATTTAACCGATCTGATCCGATCCGAACCGATTATAACATATAACCGAAAGATATCCGAACCGAAAAAATCCAACCTGAAACCGATTCGGTTGACCCGTTTGCGACCTCTAGCAAAGAGTGTTATAATAGAGTAAACTTTATAATTGATTGTTTATAATAAAGAGTTTTATATGTTTGTACCTTTCCATTCGATAGCCCCTTTTTGGGTTCTGATAGTGCTAAATTGAGAGCTAAAAATATAATTTTAAAGGGAGCGTCTAAAATGACACCAATTACTTATACACCAGTTGCTTACATCAGTTCGTTTGGGGTACCTACGGTGCTCCGTTTGTAAAAAAAGACGGTTCCTACCCTCCTAACCCTTTCCCTAAACCCCCACCCTTGCCCCCTCATCCCAGCCCCCCTCCCTACCCTGCCAGGATAGGGAGGGGGCGGGAGGGGGGCAAGGGTGGGGCTGGGGTGGGGGGTTTAGGGGGAGGGTTAGGGGGGTAGAAACCGTCTTTTTTTACAAACGGAGCACCGTAGGTACCCCAAACGAAATGGTATAAGCAAATGACACCAGTAGCACTAGTGTCATTTTATACTTACCGAATTTTAAATGATCATATATCTTTTTTGTCATAGCAATGTCAGAGATCGCTTTAATACATCGTTTGTCAATTGGAGTCACTCTTTACTCCAACCATAATCTATATATATCCATAAAAATGAATTATTCGTAAAAATGTATCCATAATAGAAAGACCGAGAATAAAATATTTGATAACAAAAGACTAAACATGATAAACTTTCTATTATAATATATAATATTATAATTTTTATACCAATTTTAATTTTTATACCAATTTTTAAATAAAATGAACTGAAAGAATTTAAAATTTCATTTCACTTTGCGTAATTTGATATTCTTGGCAGAGAATACACCTGTCCTGTAATCAAAAGACAACAAATCCTTTGACTTCAATTATCTATATTTGACCTGTAGAGCCATGCCAAAACCGGGGACAACTCTTCTGTAAGATATAAATAAATAAATAAATAAATGAACAAATAAATAGATAGCCAAGTCTGGGAAGATCGAAAAACTGTCACCACTCTCAAATTTCTACTACGTATATTATTTGCCTTGCTTGTATACCTCTATTTTTTTTCCTAACACCACTATTTATAATAAGCCTGGGAATGTATAAAAGCAGAAAAGAATAGGGCGTGTTTGGTTACTCTCAAAATAACGCCATCTTGGGACCAACCAAACACACCAGGTGTTGTGTGTGTGTTTATATATATCTGTGTATATAGTAAATCTAACCAAACATGGTCTTCTTCATCTCCTCCTCTCTACTAGAGCTTATCTGCAATCTTCCCCAAGGCATCAGAAAGTTTATTAAGAACCGAAATTAGGCTATTCACATGGTCCTTACGCTGCTCCCGGTCGAGCTGCATGTGTTCATTCTGAGCCTCGAGCTGGGAGCTCAACAGCTTCCCGTTCCTCTCTAGAGCCTTCAAAAGCTGCTGCTGCAAATTCTCTGATTCTTCTTCTTCTTCTTCTCCGGCGTCTGTCACGTTCCGTTTCCTTTTTCGCCCTTCTGGGCCACTTCCAATGCCGGGCTCCGTGGTGGTGGGCTGTTTCTGATGAATTGCGCCTGTCGTGAAAAAGCCCAACGTCAGGAAAAAGGAAACGTCACTGCAAAGATTTGTTCTTTTTGCTGAAATGAAAATACCCAAACAAACCCCCCACACACAAAACTGACAAAACACCAAATATTTGTAAGGCTCGTCGAGAAGCCATCTTTATCAAGAAGGCCAATATGATACAGTAATATAGTGCAGAGGGCTTTCATCATCGTTCAGACAAAAGAATTCATAACCCTAATGCCACTTTAGGCTTAAATTTAAATGGTTAATGATATTAACCACGAGTGTATGCATACCAATTGGATTATAAGTATGAAGGAGGATTACATTATTGTTTCATCGTCATAATCATTCTTAGCACTCTAATCCCAATTAGTTGGGGTTGGTGACATAGAACTTATAGGGCCAATTAATAGCCATGGTGTTCTTGAGGGGATACCGGTTAATAAAGAAAATGAAGATTTTTTCATAAATTTGTCCGTCGAGCAATCAACTGTTTACATTCAAGCGGATAAGATTGACCCCATGGTTGACATTAAGTTAACTAAGGTGAACCATTTACTTATAAATATGAAACATTCTTTTTGCAACGGTATAACCCCTCCTGGATATATTGAATCACTCCAACAGGAATTGAACAATGTACCTGCAGAATTACAAGCTATGAAGCTTGAACATATGTATCAACGTGTTTCCTACTTGGAAATCAACTCCGTTGACCATGCTATTCTTCCACCCGAATAAGAATATTCGTGAATTTAACTCACGAGATGGTTTAATACAAATCAAATTCACTCAATTCAAGACGGATTTGTATCTCCGTGTAGATTATGGAATTGTACACAATTAAATAACACTAAAAATTCATGCAAATAAAACATTGTAGCAATGTTTTAGGCCAGATGAACTTCCTGGTGCAACCTTATTAAAAATGATAATGATTTGAAAATTCCAAACCCATCATCTCCATAGATTATTTATACAACCATGGATAATAATAACGTGAGACAGTGATGAGTTGAGAAGGTTTTCACTTAAATCATGATATGATCAATGTTTCTAAAAACGAATAAAAGATGATTAATATATCGTATTATCTCATATCATGTCATTCCCTCGGTTTTTATTAAACCATGAGTATATTTATTTCATGATATACATAGCCTTCAAAAACCCAACTTCCAAATCGACCCTTAGTCTACAAGCTTTTAAATAACATGACATGTAAATTTTAAAATTCGACTCACGAATTATTTTAACTGCCTCTTGATTCACAGATCCAGCCAACTACCAATAGGTTTGCACTGATATCGCAGATACAATCTCACAACCTAGACAAACTACAATGCATACTTGGTCGAATTTTGAAGACGTATAAAAGTGAGAAAGAAATAAACAAACAGAACAGATAATTAGATATCATTTGGGAGTTAAAATTCTTGCAGACAACATATGGAAAACAACTTAGGATCCTATTTGGTAGCACTGATTTTCTCTAATCAGCTTAATGGCCAGATTTCTATCAAATGGAGTACTATCTTATATGACTGTGTTGGTCAAATCAAATTATAACTGAAAACAAGTGGTGGCTAAGTTGCAATTTATACATTTTTAGATAACCAGCTCATCAACCCATTTTTGGTCACCAAACATTTTTAGACAATCCAACTCATTCAGCCATTTCCACACAATTTAAGCAAATTAAGCTCACCAAGAAACTTCAACTGTTTCGATCAAATTTCACATTTTTACCCTTACCAAACAATCAATCATTGCTCTTGGCATTTCCCAGTAGCAATTCAGCTATGGACTACAAGAGCAGCACAAAATTAATAAGAACACCAAAATATGAAACTCAAAAATTATTGAATGGTTATATTCTGCATCGTCTAATAGGAAATTTACCTTTAGCAGGAGTGTGCTGAGAAAAGGGCTCATATTGTTGCTCTGCACATCATTCATAAATTTTAAAAAAAAAAGTTAAATTAATTTGTATCTTTAAGACAAGCAGAATTTCATACTTTCTATGAGCTTGATAATGAACAAGTATTCGACAATATTGAATTAACACACTAAAGGATTTTTCAGTTACCAAAAAACATCATTTTTCATTGCTATTGAAAAAATTCACCTTCAAGAATATCAAAATTTAAAGAATAATCCATTTAGGTAGATGAATCAGAAGATCACATGATACAGAAAAAAATGGGTATCTTGGATTAAACAATATCCAGGTTACCTGAAATTGGAATAGGCGCAGGAATAGCGGTGGGCTTTGGATCCTTCTCCGGCAACAATTCCTTACCGGGACTGGCAAATCCAGTCTCCTCCTGTCCAGACGGCTCAAAATCGGAAAACAGCCCATCCTCGGCCGCCGCGCTTCTCCCGCTGTCGAACAAAGTTTCCGCCTCCGGATCTTCGGCACCGGCCTTCACGGATGGGCCCAGAGCCAGAGCCAATCTCGCAGTCAGCTCCTCGCAGTCGCCGCCGTCGAGGATGTCATAAACCTCCCTGTCGAAGAACCCTGGAAGCTTCCTCTCCCTCCTCAAATCGTTCCTCATCACCCAAAACGACTCCGTTTCATCCTTCGTCTGGGCCTCCCACTCCCTGATCTTCTTAAAGTCGCCGGCGAGATTACTCCACCTCTTCCGGCACTGAACCGGCCCCCGGTTCACCCCATGCCTCAAGCAATACGACGAAACCGCCGCCCACTTCGGCTCAACCTGAGCCGACCCGAATTCCAGCCCGGCCGTCCGGCCCCTCCTGACCCGGCTCTCCACGACTCTCTTCCCCTGTATGAGCACCAGGATCTCCTGCCTCGTCCACCGGGGAAGCCGCGGCGTCTTGGCACCATCATCGCCGCCTCCGTTGACGGCGACATGGCGCCCGCCGCCAGGCGCCTCCGTGTCAGCGTCGACCGGCGGCGTCTGAGCCAAGCTCAAGCCCTCGAGCGCCATCGGAAAGGGAAGGTTTTGAAAGAACGAAAGGGGGGTACTAAACGGAGGGACGGTCGTAACGGCGTTTAACTTTCAACGGCCCGTTGACAGACGGGGGAGGGTCACTACGACATGATTAGGGTTAAAGTGAGGACAAAAGGGATCAAAGAAATTAAATTAATGATAATTATATAACTGTTATTAGGGTGTTTTGGATTTTGTTTTTACTACGGCCGCTCCTTAATAAGAGTCCAAAACCCCCCTAACCCTAAACCTACATCCGCTCAAATTGTCTTATGGCTTACAAGCCTTTGATGAGTTTTATTTGGGAGGTTAAAATTGATACTTCTTTAATTCACTAATTACTTTCTCGTTTGACCAGACCGAATATTAAAATAAAAATTGTATTGATTTTTCTAAAATATTTCTTTTTATCCTATTTTCTTCTAAAGTCTTTTCTTTAAACCCTTTGCGAGACGCAGGCCAAAATTGGCAGCAAGGCTCGCAGGGTCAACGTTTGGCGATAATGTGATGAGTCACGATATTTTTGTTTATTAATAAATACAAAGTAAAACATTACAAATTATTTTTTCATAAATACATTGATATTTTTTCTTTAAACCAAACTACAAAGTTTTGAACCGTTACATTTTTGGAACACACATAGATTTCTAACAAAAGCATGCTATTATACTTTTAAAAACATACTCTGTAATTTCAAATTTATTTATTTTTTATTTAAAAATAAAAAATTAAAATTACCTCAAATAATCTTACTTTCATTTCATTGTGTGAAATAATTTAAAAAAAAATAAATCGTTAGGTCACCATTACTTTTCTAACCGGGACCTAAAATGTACACATAAGCAGAAAAATGAAATTATTACTCATAATTTGTAAATGTGAAATTATTTTTGGAAGATCGCGTAAATGAAATCATTTCAAATAATTTTTTCATATTTTCAAATGTCCCAATTAGAGGGTTTGGATGGCACTCACCACTAATTATAAGATTGGCAATTAGAGATAAGCGGATAATCCATTATAGCTTAATGGGCAATCAATGACCATTACTCCGTATTATTTTAAGGTTACTTTCTTTCTTAAAGGGAAACTTGTTGATTACTTCCTCCGTCCGGAAATGTTCTTCCCATTTGACTTTTTACGGTCTCCAAGATTGCACTTTGACCACTAATATCTTTATTTATACATGGATATATTTTTAAAAAAATTGATATTTGAAAACTATATTTTAAAATGAATATATTCATATAAAAGTTATATCGCAATACAATGTATTTTTTCCACATATCATAGTCAAAGTTTACAAATTTTGACCAAGAAAAGTCAAATGAGAAGAATATTTTCGAACGGAGCGAGTACAATATTTGACAAACAAAAAGTTAATCAGTGTTTGTTTTCTTTCATTTTAGGATGTCCCTTTCGATGGAGTGGACTTTGGCTTGCGTGCACGCGCTTTGTTTGCCTTATTTTTCACTTTATGTTATCCAAAATATTTTATCTAAGGGTGAACGGTATGGGTGCGATAAATTATACTACCTCCGTCGCTAAGTATTTATCTAGTTTTGACTTTTTTTGGTAAACTGTTTTTTACTTTTGATCTATAATTAAATAAAATATACATTGTATTTTAATTAAATAAAATAATATTTTGAAAATATTTGATATAATAAATCTAATAAAACTCTTTTTGTATCAATATCTAACATCATTTTTATTTAATTTGAGGTCAAAGTTTACCAAAAAAAGTCAAAAGTGGACAAGTACTCAGAGACGGAAGGAGTATTTGGTATCAAAATTTGTTTATTTGGCAATTTGGTGAAGAAGGTAATAACGTCCCCTCTAATTTGGTACAATAAAAAAATGGTAAGGCAGTCTAAGACTTGCCGAGCATACTGGAGCATCACTTATTGTTATTTTTACAATTTCATTTAAAAGATTAAAAACTTAATTGAACACAAATTTTTTACCTTTGCATTTAAAAAAATTAAATGCTTAATTGAACACCACTTTTTTTTACCTTTCAATTAAAAAAATAACCTAATTCAAAACCACTTTTTTACCTCTACATTTAAAAATTTTAAACTTATTTTAACACCCCTATATATTTGATTTTTAAAATCATTATCGGAGTTAATTTTTTTTATAGTACTGTTATTTAATGTTTTTTTATTATGGATTGGTATTTTCTTTCATTTAGTGTTGTGGTTTTTATTAAATCAATGAAATGTTATCGTATTATTATTGTGTTAATTAAACATTTAAAATTTATATTTTTAATATATTTTAAAATTATTTATTAATAAAATTAGTTACTACTAACATTAGTTATTTAAAAATGATTGCAAAAAATCGGCGATTGGCATATGTACACCGCCACACGTAGTATGAAAAGTATGCAATTAATGAAATCTTATATGACATTGATGTGGATGAGAGAGAAGATGCAGTATAAAAAGTATGGAGGTATGTATAGCCTACACCCTAATCGAATAGAGGAATCACAATAGCATCTGGACTATCTTTGATTCCTCTCCAGATGAAGTTAATGATGCTTAATTGCTTATCACGATGATAAGAGTGTCAAAGGATTCGAGAAACGAGTTAGAGACGTCTGTCTCGGTTGATTCCCTCCATATTGATCCAAAACACTAAGGGGCTATTTGTTTCAGCCTCTTAATGGTACAGATGTCTGAATGGTTCAGCACTTAATGGTTCAGACTGTTTGTTTCAGCCTCTTAATGGTTCAGATATCTGAATGGTTAAGAAATTTGCCTCTGAATGGTTAAGTATTATACTGAGTCTGAATGGTTAAGACCTCTTATCTGAATTGATCAGACATTTGCCTCTGAATAGTTAAGTAATATACTAGCTCTTAATGGTTCAGACCTCTTACTGGTTCAGCACTTAATGGTTCAGACCTCTTACTGGTTCAGCACTTACTTATTCAGAAGTTGCCAAACAGCTCCTAAATTTGTTTTGTATGTAGTAATGGATACCGGACCCAGTGTCAATTATTATGGAGGTCGGACACCGTACTGGGACTGAAGATGTAGAATGGGTCGTGCGTTAGATTGTGTGGAGTTAGGAAAAGAGTCATTTCCGATAATCGCAAGATTGATGGGAACGATTCTTCAAACGTAAAGATATGGAGGGAACGAATCTTTGATTCCCCTCCAGATGAAATGACTCTTTACGTTTGAAGAATCGTTTCCCCTCCCCAAGTCCAAGCCAAACCCAAAAACTCTTTAAGTCTGAATTGTAGAGAAGAACAATGCCACGCCAAATAACCCCAATGTCAGTAACCCATTCCTTCCAACCTAACCAATCATTGCCATTTAGAGCAATCAGCTGGTTATCAGCTTAAAAACAACCAATAAACAGAACAAATTCCCCTGGATACAGAGCCTTTATCATAAGAAGAAGCAAATAGAGAGACCAGCCACACTCACCCAAAAGCAATCCTGGTTATCACCTCAGCGTTACTCAAAAGTTGTCAACTACATCCATCCTCACCCGAGCCTCCTTCCGCTCTTCAATCTGTTTTAAGAAAATGCCACATTAACCCAACTCCAAACTTGTCGCAAAGTCAATTAAAAACACTACAAATCCATGAGTATATAATCCCTCCCGGTCATCATAATCTAGGATATAAAACCCAGCAATTACTCCGTATATTATAACTAAAACCCTTAATTACCAAATCGAACTTAATTTCCAGAAAGCCAAAGAAACCATAAAGATAGTCAAATCTCTGATTGTGTAGCAACTAATACACTGAAAACTCCAGAATAGACACAAAGGGATGACATCAAGTTTTATTAGGACCATGCACCTTGGGATTCTCATTCTTACGGTTTAATCATTTGAATCTTCAAATTTCTTACCTTTTTTTCGCAAACCTTCTGTTACCAAAATGCTTTGACCATAATATAAATGAGAGTATTATATGGATTGAAAATGGACAAGAAATTCATATCACACAACAATATGAAATCGGACAGAAATCTGTGAAGAGAAAGAGATCACCCACTCCCTTTGAGCCATAGCAAAAATAGAAGGAATGGTAAAAGAAGAGCATAGAATAACAGAGAATATCATCATGTACTTTGTATGCATATTTATAAAATTGATTATCAATATGTACTCTATATGCATAATTATAAAATTGATTATCACGGGTGTTGGGGAAGCAACAACATGACAGTAGGCAGTAGGTACCAGATGACTACCATTTAGACGTTTCTGCATCTTCAAACTTCAGCACTAGACGTAGAGCAGCACCTTCCCTATACCAATCTGGCCTGACTTCTCTGCAAGCTTTGGCATCGGCTAAGGCTTGCACAGTTGCATGGATCCAACAAAGACTTCTATTCCCTTTGGGCTTGTTTGATTCAATCCGAGCTTTTTGCTGAGCTTTCGTATGTTTAATTAGTCCATCAACACTCCATTCTGGCATCCCTTGAATCCGTGATGTTACGGGGAAAAGAAGGGTAACAGCCTCTCGATTACCCATACTAGCAGCCACCTGAACTGGCTTCAACCCCTCCACATCACCTTCATTTGGATCAGCTCCTGCTTCTAATAATGTCTTGATCATTTCCGGACTACCAGTAAATGCAGCAATGTGCAAAGGTGTTGCTCCACGGACGCTGACATTTGCCCTGGCACCAGCATTCACCAACAGCTGGACACATCTCAACGAACCCGCTGCCATGGCTCCCAGCAGTGGAGTGATACCATCTTCCGTTTCCGCATTCGGATCTGCATTCTGCTCCAGCAGCAGCTTCACAGATTCTTCTTCGCTGTTACCTGCAGCCCACGCTTTGCAAATCAACATTTAAATCTTTGGGAAGAAATGCTTTCATCGGCATAATATCTCCCGTACCTGCAGCGTGATGCAAGGCTGTTAATCCCATCTCACCAGCAATTGCAGGATCAGCTCCCTGTTGAAAGAGGCAGATGGCAGTAGCAGTGAGACCTTGCAGGATCAGCGAGTTAATTAAAATGTATTCAACAGTCTCAAAAAAATATTGAAACTTATACCATAAATCCTACAATTTCAATGGAGTAAAAATTGTGTACATCCAATTAGAACTACAC